GGAGTGGAAAGACAGTCAGGGAGGAATTCAGGGGTAAAAACTAATAAAAACGCTTAATTATTCGAAATTAAATTAGACATGGACCTCCAGGGTTACTCCAAACACCAGTTAGTCGCTGTGATCAGTAAAACTAAGCGGTGCATTCTTCGCTTAATTCATAAGTACAGTTGTCTTAAATCAACTTTAATTTAGTAAAATAACGCTCCTCTGCCTTTGTGAAAAGCTTCTCTGTGTAAAAGGTATTTATCTTGCGCTTTTACAGCTGACAGACGACCTTTGAGAGCTGATATTATAGGCTGTGAAGAGGGACCATGCCGCAACAGAACGCAAGGCCGTTCCAATTTATTTTAAACAGAAAAGTTCAAGTAATTTAGGAAATCTTACTGTTTGGGTCATTAAAATTGTCATCCAAATGTATGGTAAACTGAACATGTGTCTTTAAAAGTCTCTGAGATTTGAAAGGCTACATTGAATTCTCCAAATAAACAAGAACAGCTCATTATTGCTGTGTCTCAATTCTCACACTTAGGTTAAACTGCCATGTCGTATACTCTTAACACAGGGTGGGGATTTTGATCGGGATGACTTTGCAGTTGGTAGCTAGCTAGTTAGCATCATTTGCAATACCAAATTATTACAGACTGCTCAATTAACACAGTAAAAACCACAATGGCTGCTTTCGAAACAACAGTATAGTGGTACGTTTATTCAAGAGAAGGGTCCAGCGTTCCACACTCAACTTATTGACCGTTATGATTAAACCCATTTAGCTTTGTGAGGCCAAAGGGGACAAAAACGGACTTTGGTGCATGTTCAGATTTCTCATGTTCTGTTGACTCACTTCTGTAGTCGCTGAGAGCACGATGACCCAGGGCAGCAGCACCACAGCAGAAACCAGGTTATCCAGAGCGTAGAGGCGTTTGGCTCCACCGATTTCCACCGACAGTTTCCTGGAGGCCGTGTGAAACGCCACCTTCAGACACAGGGAGGCCACCAGCAGAACAACTCCACCCTGATGGGAGGAACGGGATGTTAGCAGGCAGAGATACACTTAAAGTGCTTGTGTAGGCAGCACTTTACGGAACATTTAGCGTGTGCTTTGCTTACTTTGTGATCTGCAACCCCTAAAAAGGCAATGGCGGTGTAGAGGAAATGAGTCAGCGCGCTGTCATGGTGACCCTCAGCTGGTTAAAAAATGAGTCAAGGAGAAAACACTACAAACAGAGAAGTAGGATGACGAACAGAAGAAGATCAGGTCAATGATAAATCCAAATAATTAGCAAAGGATACGGTGCTCGGCCATCTTTGCCATGAGATCGTCGTTGTCAAAGAGGAGGAGGCAGATCACGGCGATGATGAAGAGGGCAGCGCCTCTGGTCTGCGAAAAACCACAGAAATGCAAATTACACACTTCTACAATACAGTTTCATTTCACTCAGGGTCAAAATAACCCACGCTTTCTTATCCACAATTGTATGACTCTTAACTCCAGGGAATATAAAAGTGTTTTTATCTTAATTGTATGTTTAATTCACCACTTGACCTTGAAATGTTAATTTAATGGTTGTTTCTTAAAATATGAGCTCTTCTTCCTATTCTGTATAGGAATGTATTTTTTTGTTGACCTTCAATGGCCATACTATGCCATTGTACAGATCTTATCAATTTTCTTCATCTGAATAATGGTTAAAAACACTAAAATGGGACAAACGTTGTATGAAATATTTATTTTTTATCGTTTCTTTTGTATCTTGTTTTTATGTTGCTTAAACTGAAAACAACATATCTGACGCAATAATACATTAATAAATAATTGAGAGTAAAACACAGACATGTTTTCATTTAGCCCTCGTACCTTGGATGGCCCCCCTCCTGTGCCTGTGAACAAAACACCGAGAAGAGCAATGACAACCACATCGCTGTGCTCAAAAAGCAACAACGTCCTGTAAAACACACAAAGCAGAATTGAATATTAATAATAATACGTTTATTTATTATAGCACCTTTCACAGAAATAGATTTCACAAAGTGCAAAGTTCAAATTAAGACCACAGAGACATGAATAAAATAACCACACGAGGCACATTTTTAAGGTCAACATAAAAACAAAACACAGACCAGGTTGAGCCCTGAAAGGAACAAACATAATAACAGGGAATCACACCCTATATACCACATGTGTCAAACTCAAGGCTCGGGGGCCAAATCAGGCCCGTGGTGGATTTAATTTCGGCCCGCAGGATAATTTTTAATTACTATTAGATCTGGCCCTCCGGTATATTGCACAAGGATCTCCTCCGCTCAGAGCCTGAGCCCAAACATTGATGAACTTGCACCTGAGATGAGATGCCAAGTATCTGGCTTGAACTAGCATCACAGAGCAGCACACTGAGTTTAATGGATGTTTCCTTCTGCACTTTCTTTCTTGAGACAACAGAGCATGTTTGTTTTTTTCTTTGAGGGAAATTGTTTTGTTGAAGCTGTTGTTGGCCTGTTGAAAAATGTAATCATAAGAAATGACTCCGGAAAAGCTGCAGATAGAGCCATAAGAAATGAATGCAACTGATTATTTAATGTTTAATGTTGTTTTTATAGGCAATAATTGAAGCTTTGTTAGTTCCAGGTTTAATATGTACAATCAGTTCATTTCAATAAGTTCTGCAATAAACATTGAACCAGTCCGGCCCTCGATTAGTACCCATTTTTTTATTTTGGCCCACTGTGTATTTGAGTTTGACACCCCTGCTATATACACAAAATAGTTTTAATTACGACACATCCAAAGACATAAAACACACAGCTGGGTGAGTCCATAAAAACTCACCAAGAACCACCATGTCATGGATTTTCTGAAACTATCCAAGTTTTCAATAAAGTAATGTGGCCTTGCCAAAACTATAGCGCTTATCCAAATACCTTTCCAGAAGAGGTAGTAATAGATTTGTAAGTCTGTGTATTCTAACGAAGGAGTAATATAACATCTTTTGACTCATCTGTAATGTATATTAACACATTCCTTTCTAAAAAAATACAAAACATATCTAAATAAGTTAAGCTTCAACGCTATACTTAGTAAGATCTGTCACACATTTTGTATGCATGACCAAATAAATTCAAGGTTTGATAGAACTGTATGAATATACCACACAGGTTAAACATTACATTTCAGGAAAGTCAAAAAACTAATGAAAAACTGGTATAAATTAATAATATATTATGAGGTTTTTATTTTATATATTTAAAAGAATGTTGGAAATCATTCTCAGGTTTACATGGATGTTCAGTAATTCCATCCGATCTAATGGAAAAATATGCAGCGCCAAAAATGTATAACTAACCAAACACTTGGAATTGACCAATACGATTTTTGGCAAGGTCCCATGAATTTAATCAGATTTTCACATATCTTTTCAAATCAAATATATGATCCCATCTGGGAGGTCTTGATGTGGAATGGCTCAGTTAATACCACACAAATATGTTTATGCACACAGCAGTGTTGTCTTGAATTGCTGTACAAAAAAACACACATTTACAGTGACAGCTCACCTCAGAGGTCCACAGAGAGTTAGCCCGAAAAAGCCCAGGAGGGAAATGATGCAGCTGAAAACGGCATGCTTCATTAACTTTATCCACTAGAAAGAAAACAGAGTAAAAAAAGAAATCATCATTATGGCAGGTCAACAAAGTGACTTTACGGAGGCATTGATACAATGTCTTTTAACATAAAGCTCAATCTTGTAGTTTCCTAAAGCACTACATACAGAGGCCGACAAGTGCAAATGTCTCACTAGGGCTGTCCCGAATATTCGACTATTCGAATATTCGTTCGTTGGCCAACTATTCGGGTATCAATTTCATTATTTGGATATTCGTTTTTTTTAAAAATATTTTATAAAAAAAAAATACAAATCTCTCCGCACCGAATATTCGCTGCTGATTACTACCGAATATCCGGAGCCCGAAAAATTGTATTCGGGACAGCCCTATGTCTCACAACAGTGACAGTCAATCCTCGAACGTCAACTTTTTAGTATCCCTGTTTACTTTGTTTTTTGAGCTTCAGTAAACGCTGCGCATGTTTTCTTCATTTGTGTTTTGGCACATTTGTGTTTCTATATTTGCATTGTTTGTGTAACTGCAGCACCTAATACAAAGGTGTGTACAAAGGGCAGCACCTAATAGAAATGTGTTTTGGGCGGCATTTGCCCAGAGGACTTAAAGGTTTGACAAACATTAAAATCATGTGTTCCTTCTGATGTAAAATGTAGGAAATCATTGTTATGAGCCACAGAGAAAAATAGGAAATGTTTCTCCTAAAATGAAACAATAGATTAAATTAATTTATAGAAAATAAACAAATACAAACATATACATGTATATACACATTAGAGCTGGATCGTGCACAAACAGAAGACGAAGAAATCCCACTCACTTGTCTTTTTGAGACGACTTTGCCAGAGGAGAAGGGCTTTTGAAAGAAAAGCAGGATAACAGCACTCCTAGAAAAGGAAAAGGATGCTTACATACATGTAGTAACAATTATAAAAAGAATTACAAGTTTGATGACATTGATGAAATAAAATATAAGCAACTAATAGGCTACTTACCCTAATTTTAGTATAAAGATGAACTGGACAATGTGGACAACTTTGAGGATATCATAAGATTCAAATATCCCAAGAGCCTTGAGGACCTTCGTGACGATCAGTAAAACTATATATCTGGTTAACCTGAGGAGGAAAATAGAAATGTATTAGTTCTTGAGAGAAAAGATTGAACATTCGTTGAGTTTTGGCACTATTTTATTTGGAGGATTTCTAAAAACAATAAAAAATAAGGCACTTTTTGAACATTTAACCTTTTGAACAGGTCACAGTAAAAGCACAACATACACATATAAACTGGAAATTGAGCATAATAGGGCCCTTTAAAACATTGTTCAACAACCTCCTCTGCTCCTCTCTCTTCTAATCTATTATTGACATCAAATGTTTCAGAGATCATGGATGAGATAAAAACAGATACATACCTAGAATTGGGAACCTCGACCATGCCCAGTTTCCCCCCTGAGAGTACATTGCTGCTGTATTTATCTTCCATCTTAAAGCTCCAGTTAAAGTCCAGTTGAAGTATTTAAATCCCCAATACCCTAAATTACCTGAAAAGTGACATTAAAACGCAGCCAATTTACTGGTAAAGAGTATAGCCATTCTTCCGTTAGCTTTTAATCATTCTTTCGTTAAAACGTAACAGTTAGTTTGTTAAATTAACTGTAAACATTCAGCTGGTCGATTCTTAGTCTATTAGCTTGCTAGCTAGCCATCTGTTATGCTAGCTAAGATTGTATCCAAAGTTATTAGATGCGACTCGTGCTGCGCGTGCTGTGTACGTCTTATGAACACATGCAGTTGCTTAGTAAGAGGTAGGACATTAATAATGTTAAAACTGAGCTGACAGCTTCAATAAATAGGGTAAATTATCCTCGCTGGACAAAAAGCCAAAGCATTTCCGGACACGGTAGACATGTTCACGTCACGTCACGTCACGGGTGTTTGTGTTTGTGACCGTTGCTGCTGCGCACTGATACGCAGACGATGACGATGTGGATATAAAAGTGATACATGTTAGTAAAATTCTAATAGAAAATGTAAAAAAAAATGTGCTCAAGCTTTGCAGCAAAGGGGCGCAGGAACTGCTCTTAAGAAAAAAGTAAACTAAAAATAATTCCTCCTTACTCTACTGACTCTAAAATGAGCCAAAAACATGCTTGCGACAATGTTGTTTGGCCTGTTTGCCTGAATTACATGTTGACAGAATGCGTAACATGTTAAAAATAAACAAAAAATCACTTCAAACTTCTCCTAACACTTCCCCTGGTGGTTTGACTACGTTAATAACATCTGTGTAAGGTATTATAAAGGCTTTTGCATCAAGGATTTTAATTATGTTCTATGGCCAGACAGCCCAAAATGTACTGGATCCGTACCCACGTGACGTCTCATAATGATTTACAAGTGGACTATGGGCTCAGTCAGTCTGCTTTAACCACTGAGCTATACAGCAACATGATCAGCAATGATTGATTTGAAGTTACTCGATCACATGACCTTTTGTTTGGTCCCTCGGAGGTAGGGGGCGTCTCCTTTAGGCTGCTAAGGACACAAGATATTTCAAAACATGAAAACTCCGTAAGTAATATATTTCATTCTTATTTGTATCACTTAATTTTTTTGTTTTAGTAAAAAGAAATGTTTTAATATATATAAAACATCTTTATATAATTGTTTTCAAGTTAGTTTTTATGATTGCATTATGTAATACATTATTATTTATTTTATTTATTTAAATTATTTTTTTGTATTCGTATTTCATTATTTTATTTGCGGGGAGTGGGGCGTCCCTAAGGCTGTTAAAGAAGCTTTTTTGTATTATTATGTTAGCCTATAACAAATGATTAGCCATTTTGTGTGAGATATAAATCAATATACTAGTGGAAATAATTATTTCTAGAGAAAAAAATACATAGATAACACAGATTAAATCAAAAACAGAAACAGAAACAGGAAGTGCATGAGATGTTTTTTTATTTTTGGTGGGAACAACTCTAAACTAAAACAGATTGATCACGGTATTCGTCATAACTTTCAAAGATGTAAGATTTGTTTATAATCCAGGGGACAGAATGGTCTACATTTCCAGAAGAGTAGTGAGAATTTCAGTGAGCTCCACACAGTCCGAGCAGGACGCTCTCATAATGTCCCTTAGTGTCCATCTGTAAACAAAAACAAAAGTGCTCAGCTGAAAAACCTTCATATTACATCTTTTTTTCTGTACGGTATGAGTGACTGACAGAACTTTAGGGCACTAATTCTAGGTGAGTCATTTTACCAGAATGGCCTCCTGTAGGCTGACGTCATACATGGCCCTGTATTCCTCAATAATCTTCTTTAGGTCGACCTCAGAGCGGCTCACCATCACTCGGATCAGTGTGTCCTCACATGTGCCGTGGCCCTGTGAGAACGTAGCAGAGGTGTAAACGCTGAGCAGGTACAAGGCAAACATCTTCGCTTCGCAGTAAATATGGGACAAAGTCATTGTGTTGAAAATCACAAGTAAATATTGTGCTCAAGTTGTTATTTAAGACAAGTTTGGAGACGATTCCCAAGAGTTACGAATCAAGACCCGCCCCAAGTACAAACCCTCAAACGAGTCATAATGCATCTGTAATAATTGACACGGATGATTTGCTTAAATCTGTTTTAAGTTGACCACATTATACGTTTTTGTTTTTTATTGTATGTTCTCCAGGGACTCAGTAACATAACGCCTGTTTGACATGTTTCTCTCCTGCAACCTGATTGGATGCTCTCACATTGGTTTGTATGAAAGTGGTCAGGGGGAATTTTGGTTGGACTCGATGTGAAAGATTTGTGTTAATTAGTTGATTTAGGAAATTAATTGATTCATGGCAACATTTTTGAATAACATCTTTGGGCTTAGGGGAACTTATCAAGTATGTTTTAGGTCAAAAGGCTCAAGTCCAAGTTGAGTATCAAATCATGTGACTCGGGTCAACACTTCGGTTCTGTTTGTATGATATCAGGTACAGTTATGTAACATCATCATGTTGGTTGCAAAGATTCCAAAGCAGGCATCACAAAGAAAAACACATACACACAGTTAGAACAAAAAATGTCAGTGGAAACGTGACACAAACACACACACACACTCCAAGTCCGACATATGGTCAGAAAAGGAAGGATATATTCACACACCTTCATAGCCAGATGGAGCTTCTCAGCAAAGACAGCGGCTTTGTTCCAGGAACATTTGACTAAACGTCAAAAAGAAAAACATTCCCATTTAAAGTATGCAGATGTTTAGGCTAAAGAAGTCCATACAAGGTTTTAGAAGCATGACGTGCAGACAGTATCGTATCGTCTATCCATGTTCAAATCTTCACCTCCTATTACAGCTGGGAATCATTTTGTTGATACAGTGTGTGCTCAAAAAGGTTTTCTGCACTCCCTTTGATTGTTATGGGTCTTTGTGACTCTCACTCTCCTTCCAGGTTTTCCCTCTGGACACCACATGTTGCAGACTTAACAATACAATTGTGATGATTTATGTTTCGCAGAATCAAACCCTCTTGTCCAGCTGTCTGTATTTACAAGCCTGACATGTCCAACAGTCCATTCACCAATAAAATGTCTTGGAAATCACTGGACATATTTCCATTAAATATACTTTGGGAATTCAGGCTATGTTTGTTGGATTTTCTGACCATTCCTGTTCACAATGATGCCAGAGATCTTTACTTGTACACAACAAATATCAAACCATTATTTGCAAGCTTACATAAAAAGTAAATGGCAATACGTTGGTATAAAAAATAAGTAGGTATAAATTGCATGCATGCTCCCCGGAAGATAGATCCTTATCATCCTATTACCTTACTTCCTCAGTGCTTACTACTTCAGAACAAATGTTTCCCTTTTATTAAATAATAACTGAAATAAATGAAGACCATTCCTTACCAATGTCAATTAGACATTCTTCAATGTCTCCCTTCAGCTCCAAATCCAGGGCTTTAGGTAATGAGATGTCACTTACAGCGGCGTAGTGCTGGAAGGCTAACAGGTAAACACATATAAAAGGGATGTATGAGTCAGAAAGAAAGGCAGACGTTTTTACAAAAAGTTATAGAAGTAAAGTTGGGAAATATGTGCATTTAAAAAGGTGCTTTGCTTTAGCTGGATTTAAAGTATCTTTTGAATTTGTACTATACAAAGGCCAAACCGTATATTATTACCATATCGAGAGAGAATGTGTGCCTAAGTAACTTTTTGCACTGTAACTTTTATGAATGTATCTTTGCTTTTAAATGAGTGTTTTTAAATGCCATTTTATAATATGTTTCTTAATGCTCTTAATGTCTTTCATTTTTGCAAAGCACTTTATAACTATATAAATAAATTTGCCTTGCCTTGCCTAAGTACATCTACACTTTCAAAAAATCCAAAAAATCTAAAGAACCCTAAATAAAATAGCCTCATCAAGAGTACAACTGCTTTCATAGTCCTGTTTTTATCTTTAAGAAATCCGCCCTACTATTCTCCATATTATTACTACACTGCTGGGTGTGTTCCACCGGCTACAAAAAAGTGTGGTTCCACCGGTTCTCCAGGTGTGTGTTCAGCCTCTAATGAGTCAAACCTAAAAGCTGAAACTCTCAAATATTTCAACACTTACTCTTGGTGAGCTGCGGCCCGCTGCGTTTGGACAGGATGTCGATGAAGGCAGAAACATCGGTTCCTTTGGTGTTCTCCCCGGCCTCAAACAGAATCTGCGGGGTACAAAACAGCAACAAAACAGCCATTACCCTGTTAATGTTGTACAAGAGTTACACATTAATGTATGTTACGATTCCATTGCTATTGAGATGATCATATACAATAAATAAAGTATATTCTGCACTTGTGATCCAAAGCCACTTTCACACATTTACTGCAAACCTGAAATTATATAGACTCTAAATGGAGGAGTTGTAAGTCATAAGTTCATGTTATTTCCGATGAAGGCCGTATAACAAACCAGATTTATTTTGAGCCAGTGGCCGTGTTGATTTTTCTGTCAAGGCTAGCGGGAAACCCAGAATAAAACTAACATCCGGGGTTGAAAGGGAGGGTCATTTACAAACAGCAAAAAAAAAACGTCTAACTGGAAAGATCACCCTTCAAATTCCGGGAATGGCAAGAGACTTAAATATATGACAAAATAACAAGGTGGGTACTTGACCCCGGAGGTGTCATGCCTCATTTACGCCATAACAAGGCAACAGTATTTCCAGCAGGTGAGAACGCTTCTGACACAGACAATTCCTTGATCTATGAAGGGCAATTTCCAGACAATGTGCACACCGGATTCTACGGATATTGTCATATGAGAAAACCGTTCAAAACGTTTGTGTTAGGGTCATAAAGTAGCGTTCATTTTGTTTCCTTCTTGGGACCTTAGTTTAGTAAATATTGAAAAGATGCCCGCCTTATTATCTAAAACGTTTTTTTTTTCCAGATTTCACCTCTGCATCTTTTCGGGCCAGATCATGGTCGATTTCCACACTTTCATCTTTTTGTGCTTTCAACAGGGCCAGGAGAGCCGTGGTGAAGTCACCGCTGGTCTCATCCTTAATGACTTCCTCCAGCTCCTCTTGGTACTCTGAGGGACAAAGGTAGAAGACATTGCAGTAAGATAATGGGACATAGTATGACTGCATGGGTTAAATCTGTTGTTCAGACACACAATCCTCATGACTGCGTGATTACAGAGCAGCACTGTCGAGGAAATCAGTGTTGTTCGAATGTTGCAAACACAAAAAACATCCTCAAGAACTTCAGTAAATACCTTAGATGTTACAAACAGAACTCAGCATGTTCCCCAACTAATAACAGAGATAAACATTGACTCAGTCCAAACCTTCTTTGAAGACCCTCTTGATCTCTCGAATCTCTTGGTTTGATCTTGTTGCCAGAACCTCCACAAGGACGTGTTCATGTGTGCCGAAACCCTGTTGATACAGCAATAGAATAGCTAGGAATTCCCATATACGTATGTCTATATAAAATGTGTTTCAAAGGAGTCCTCAAACATAACTAAACAAAGATTAAAAAGGTCTGGATAAGTCCTTTTGGCCTACATTTAGGTGGTTTCAAATTAATCTGAAAAATGTTTTCACGACTTTCTGTCGGAGTGTGTGGGAGTTCACTGCTTTAGACTTAGTCTAATGTTCTCATAGTGTACAAAACCGCAAAGCCAAAGTCTCTGAATGTTAAACTGAGCACGAAACTAAATACCAAGAACCTTGGACAGTCCCTACTGGCAGAACAAACAGTGAAATGAAAAGGATCTTGGAGAATTCATATTTGGAATTGATCTCCTCTCATATTTAGTACATCGACCACTGATATTTACCTTTGTGGCCTTCCTGAGCAGGTAGGCATCAAAGTGAGGGGGATCCATGAGCAGAGCCAGAGAAACGTCCTCTAAGTCTGACCTGAGAGCCGACTTCAGAGCTTTTTCCAGACTCTGCAAGACACAGCGAGCATAAAGTTGCATTACAATCATGGTCATAATTTAGGTGTGTGTTTGAGGTTGCATTTTGGTTATAGATAGATAGATAGATAGATAGATAGATAGATAGATAGATAGATAGATAGATAGATAGATACATACATACATACATACATACATACATACATACATACATACATACATACATACATACATACATACATACATACATACATAGATAGATAGATAGATGGATAGATAGATACATAGATAAATAGTTAGGAACGAAGGTGGAAATCATGAGAAGATAGAAGATTTTAGCACAAATTACAGTCAGTAATCAAGACAGTAATGTTAGTTACACAGCAGCAGCTTTTTAAAAGTGTGCTAACTAAGTAGCCACCATAATACTGGTCATACCAGACCAAGCTATTTCTTTCTTTCTAAATAAGTTTCAGACGTCTTGCTTTATGTGGACAAAAATTATGTTATGACAAGTCAAACAAAAAGGTTTATACATTGAGTAAATATGAAATGCAATATCAGCTTTCATTCAAATGCAGCGGATCTACATTGTATTCCCAACATTTAACCTAGTTTGTGTTGCAAATCTGTACATTTAAAAAAAATAAGGACACAATGAAGTTCCAGCGTCTAGAGTGAAGTCTCCTTGACTTCACTATGGACGCTGGAACTTCATTGTGTCCTTATTTTTTTATTTGGGCTCTTCTTGATGCTGATGTATCATTATTTGGTCTTAATGAGAAATGAATCACTTACCTTTCCCGTGGACGCTTCATAAACTACTTTGATCTTCTGTCTCTGCTCATTACTCCTCTTCACCAGGACTGCGATGATCACATCATTATCCACTTCTGTGAGGGACAAGATGTACTTTAGCTTACTTTCTTTAAACCCCTGAGACCCTCTATGTCAGAAATGTAGAGGCACACACACACCGTCTTTCTCAATGGCGCTCTGCAGAGTGGAAGCATCGCTGCTGGCGTTGAAGTTGGGATACGGGACGACTGTTCCATAATACTTAGCCTTCGGCTTACCCTTTACCTAGAACAACAGGCAGAAATGTGGATGTTTTTTTGTTTGTTGTGTTTATTTTTCAGTTTTTCACAGTATGTCCAACATTCATGACAAAAAGTTGCAAACCAAAATGTGGATGCTTTAATGACTTAAGCTGCTGTAAAGCACTAGGAATTCAAAGCTTAAGATAATTAAGTCTATAGGATGATTTTTGATTAATTTGAGTTTCATTACAGCGCAGAATTACAGGAATAATGGCAAAGATATGTGATGTTATTAGGTAGAGGTGAGATGACTGACGGAGATATAGACAGCTGTCAGCATGTCATTTTATATAAAACTACAAATGCTAATCTTTAAGCACTGAAACGGATAGTTCAGTACACTTAAACTGATATAACCTTTTTGAGCTTTCCTTAGATCTCTTAAATATGTTGTTCTGTTGCGTCCACATTGTTTTGTTTCCAAGTCACACCCAAATTGGGCGCGTGCCGACTCCCATCTGCTGTTACACTGACTTTGAAAAGTGCCTAATACAACCTAACTCAAAAATCTGAGCTATCACATAAAGAAAACATTATGTACAACATGTCAATAATCCATATATCAGATCTGATACTCACTAAGACGGTGTCTTCGTCTGGCTTTCTTTTACGTATGACCTTTTTGAACAAATCCTTGAACAGTGACATGTTTACTTGGCTGGAAAGTTGTAAGCAGAAAACAATATATATAATTAAAGAGGAAAAATGTTAACATGAAATAGAAAGTAAAGAAGTTAACCTTGGTTTAAATACTTATACATATTTAAACATCCCAACAAATCTCACCTTGGCTGCTGCAGACGATGCTCAAACCAAAGTTTGTAGTTCTCATGTGTTAGACGCAGTATTTAACTCACTCTGCAGCGGCCCCACCCATCTCTATGCAGATGATATTCAGACAGGTTTGTATGCACCTACAGGGGATCAGCCAATCACAGGCCACCTCTCAAAGACAACATTCCTGCAGGGTGACAGTCAGAGCTCCATACAGGTTGGGTTACTCTTCTGTAAAAGCTTGTATTGTAAGCTAAAACCCTTTCACCCTTAAATTAAACGACTTATTTTTCAGACATTGAGGAAACAGCGATAGCGGATAGTTCAGATTTTTGAAAAGGGGTTGTATGAGGGACTTATCCTTAGTCAGTGTAGTAGTTAAAGCCCAGATAAACAAACAGGATTACCAGCTCAGAAGCTAAGAAATGTATTGCTGTGGATGGGTGCAGCAGCTGTGTTTTAGCCACCAAAATGAGTTAGCATGTTAACAGTTACATTAAATGTCATTTCTAGACACTTTTATCCAAAGTGACTTTCATACATTCAGGGACATGCAGTGGGACTCAAACTTGCTACCCCCTGGATTGAGGACCCTGATTCGAAGTCCAGCACTCTATCCACTTAGCCACAGCAGCATTTGTTTGCTATATTTAACATATTTATATCCCTATATGTTGTTTTCAAAGTCACAAAGCCAATATCTATGCTCACTACAAAAGACACCACACTCCACAAAAAAAACTGTAATTTGATCAGAACACAGTATTTGATCCCATATTGTAGCTAGCATCAAGGCTACCTTAGCTACTACCATATTACACCTGCACCTCCAACCAAACTTTATTGGTCTCGTTAGATTTTGTGTAATTACGGCACCAGGGTTATGACACGGGTTATAAATACGTTTTTGTCAGTCATGATTTTGTCAATCATGACAGACAGTTTTATCATATCGCCATGCTTAATCAGTGGACTGCTCTTAAGTGACATGAATACATTTAAGAAATCAAACCAACAACAGAAATGTTAGGAGTTGTTGGGGTGTGGCTATTAGCATGAGTAAACTCAAATAGAGAAAATGAAAACGTTTTAAACAGAAATAATGCAGTATAAAACACATTGAAAATGTATATAAACTGAGATGCTACACAATTGTTATTAAAATATTTTTAACTTTATTTAAAGACAGAATCATACCATGAATTACAAAGTCAGTGTACATGTAAAACAAAACAAAACAGCCTGAGTACACATTATCACTAAATAACATGTTTCTGTATGTACAGTATTGTAAATGTCACCGGATACATAAGGAGTTATCTTGATATATGAGAATAATGTTAGACCACAGATAACCTCACCAGTAGCTACCCAAGTTAAGACAAGTTGTATCCAACAGATATCCTAAAGCCAGGCAGACACTGTATGGACGCTAATATTTTACCCACTGTGGTTTAAACATCTCTATAAATAGTAGGCAAGGTGGACAAGATGTATGTATCCACAGCGCTCTGGTTTCTGTTTACATTTTGAGAAGTATTGACCAATTCTGTTTGAGCAGGCATCGGTTGAATGCAGGCTTCAGTCCGTTTGGAGAGCAATACTGAACACATTGACCAAAATGCAATCTGGGAATTTCTGTACAAGACATACAAGCTTAACGAAAAGCACAGTGTCTGCCTGACTTTAGACCCACAAGGGCAGAAACTATAGCAAATCATGGGTTGCTCAAGATAGCAACATTTTATAGAGCTGTATTCTTCAAAAATGACCTTCAGTATTCTTTGAACTTTTGATGTCAGTAAGGAAATATGCAGACCAAATGAAGGTCTTTGTCACTGAAATGCCACTTAGTGTCAACACCTTGTGCCTGTTTAAGTCTCATGCTGTAAAATCAACTGAGGCATGTACACAGCCTTCAGGAATGGTTTTTCACACTGTTATCTCGGAGGGGGCCCTCTACCTCGACCTCGTCCAGGACCCCCAGGAACCTGACCCCGTCCAGGAACCTGACCCCGTCCAGGACCCTGACCCCGTCCAGGACCAGGACCCCGTCCAGGACCCTGACCCCGCCCAGGACCAGGACCCTGACCCCGTCCAGGACCCTGACCCGGTCCAGCTCCCCTCGGCCCAGGAGAACGGTTCACCGGCCCTCGAGCGTTGGGGTTGGGCGATGCCAGAGCCACATCTTTCTCCAGATTAACGCCTTTACCCGCTGACCCTGGCTTGGTCTTAGTTAACCTTGATTCCGGTTCTGGTGGTTTTTCTGTTTAAACATATAAAAAGAGATGAATCAGCTGAATATCTATATTTCCAGTCACATGTATTGAATCCACAACCTTAAGACTTCAATGTATGAATAAGATCAAAACAGTATGACAAACACACTAATTTCACTTTCTATTCAGAGGCATTTTTGTATTGTTATATTCTGTTATACAGAGGAATATTTATAATAACACAATTTAATATAAGAGACTACATTCTATTATTAATCCGATCAATGTTCTAGCAAACGGTTTAACCTCACCCCCCACTAAGCTAAAGTTTCTTCAACAGAGAATCCTAAAATACTCCTGAGCTGGGATTCCTCGCTGGGAGTTTTAGGCTCAGTTGTTTGTAATGTTTGTGAATACGTTCAGAGGAGTTTACTGACCAGGCTCTGGTGGAGCCATGAGGGACCCTTTGGGCAGCAGGTCCTCCAGGTCTTTCATCACCTGGTTTGTGCTGTCTGTGTTGTTCCTCCGGTTCTTCTCTTCATCTCGAGCCTAGGGCAAAAATGGAGGGAGAGAGAAAGAGGGGTGGGGGACAGAAAAAATGGGAAACGTAAGAGATTCAGAAACATTTTGGAAGAGAGAAAGAATAATTAGTAAGGCAAAAAACATTGTTTTCTTGCTAAAATAAATGAATAAATCCGACGATAAGACCAAAACATAAAATGTATCCAGCTTTCAAAACATTGTCTGCCACAAGTCTATTAGTCCTTACTGAAAAATATTTTTGTAATGGTTTACAAACTTTCCTCAAATCACTGGTCAGTGTAGTTTCTATCAAGTGTTACTTAAACAGGAGTAAAAAGGGCATTTGTTGTGGACTATTTGTTGCTGCAGAATAATATAGATTGAGTGCACCAGTGAGTATTTACAACAGCAGGATGATCTAATTGAGATTAAAACCAAAATAAACATGCTAACTTGTTAAAGCTAACTATGTCAACATGCTTATTACTACTGTACATACTGCCCCTAGCTTCAATTCTCACAAAACACAACATCCCCTTCCATTGTTACGCCGATGATGTACATATCTATCTGCCTCTCAATTCTAATGTCAACTCATCACAGCTATTGATGGACTGCTTGACAGAGATCAAATCCTGGCTGAGCCAACATTTCCTCAACCTCAACGAGAGCAAGACCGAGGTCATCTTTTTTGGAACCCAACCTCCAGCCTCTCCCGTGGATATTCTGGGCTCCCTCAATAAAAACATCCTCCCTTCTGTCATGAACCTTGGAGTGACCTTCAATAGCGCTTTTAAATTTGATAAGCAGGTCAGCAGCGTAGTCAAAACCTGCTTTTTTTTAAATACGACTATTGGCTAAGACCAAGTCGTTTTTATCTTTTAAAGACCTAGAAAGGGTTATTAATGCCTTTGTAACCACAAGGCTGGATTACTGCAACGCTCTATACGTGGGGTTGGACCAGGTGTCAATTAGACGCCTGCAGTTAGTGCAGAACGCAGCTGCTCGTCTTCTCACTGGCCACAAAAAGCGTCACCACATCACCCCAATTCTGGCCTCATTGCACTGGCTTCCAATTTGGTTCCGAATTTATTTTAAACTCCTGTTATTTGTTTTTAAAGCGCTAAATGGGCTGGTTCCGGCTTATATAGCAGAACTCATCCATCGCTACACCCCAGCCAGAGCTTTAAGGTCTGCTGACCAGCTACTGCTGATAGTGCCCAAGACCAGGGTCAAAACCAGAGGGCACCGAGCCTTCGCAGCAGCTGTCCCTAGGCTCTGGAACACTCTGCCCCTGCATGTGAGGTCGGCCCAGACCCTAGGGGTTTTTAAATCAACACTAAAGACTCACTTCTTCTCCCTGGCCTTCTAGTCAGAGCGGAGCACGACTCACGACATTTCCCTGTGTTTGATTTTTATATTTGCTGTTGTAATTTATTGTCTTCTGTTTGCAATTGTAGTAATGTGTTTTTTATTTGCATGTATAGCACTTTGGCTCGACCAAAAATCGTTTTTAAAATGTGCTATATAAATAAAACCTGAGTTGATTTGATTTGAAAGCTAACTAAGTCAACATGCTTATGTTTAGAAGGTAGATTTTATATTATGGTTGCCAATTTGGCCTGTAGGAATGTCTTAGTTTTGCAAATTCTACCGACAACGCCACACCTTGAGGTGGTTTGTGTGGTTAAAATACTTTGAGCACTAAGCTGCACTTATTCTGTTATCAGAATAATCTTGGCTAAATTACTCTGTAAATTCGGTAGTTTAACCCGAACACAGTGCCCTGATGCTTAAATGTCACATTTTCACCAATGTACCTTCATTTTGATCCCATTGTTTACTTACCATCTGCATCTTCTTCTTCAGCTCCATGTTGGCGTTTTGATAGGCCTCAGACACTGAGTTCAGATAGTAGATGGCCAGTCTGTAAAATAAAAATAAAATATTAATCGTTGTATTTTCATTGGCTGCAAAGACGCACACGTCTAGACCAACAATTGACTTGTGTAACATCGTATGCTAATGTTTGTTTCTTGCACTTCTTCAGGAGTGAGGACCAAAATATTTTTTTATTTTAGAAAATGTTTGGGATGTGAGGCCTTTTGAGGCAGTCTTCACTTCTCCAAAGGCCTGTTTGAGGGTGAGGATTTGGTTTGAGGGTGCAGGTATGAATTACGCTGAAAGGTTTTGGGTTATGCATTTAATTGCAATGGTCAATGTTAGGGCAATAGGGTTAGGGTTAGTGTGTGTGATCCAAGGTGTCTCCTTAACACTCACACCATGAGCAGTACAGCTGGTATGATGAGTCCTGGGTTGGCTGCGTAGCTGAAAAGCGTCCCCAAGAAGGCTGGAAGGTCCAGGTCGATCGTTTCCATGATAACATCAAACATCTTGGGCTTGCCACTGAAAAAACATCCACAGTCAATATGTATGTGTGTGTATGTGTAATTGCATACACTCATTCCTGACCCCCTTTCATTACTCATAAACCATATCTTGTTGACACTTAAGTGTTCGCCATCATTGCGATTTTGTGCTTGTTCTTCAGTGTTACCTGAAGGGTCCGCAGTCGAATGAAGGGGGCAGGGTCATGATGGTGTAGACGACAGGTAGCAGACTGAGGAAGAGGATGAGGAGCAGCAGACCCATGTAGAAGTTGTTGGACTTGGAGGCTTTGAAGACTCTCTCGTGGGGGACATTGGTGGCCATTACAGCCCAACACTGGTAGTACATGGAGCTGAGGAGGCGCAGCACGTTGATGCCCACCAGCCCAGGAGCGTAAAACGCACCCATCCTGAAGTACAGCAGCAAATGACAGCATGATGTATTAGCATTAGATCCGGGTGTGTGTGTTCTTGTGTGGCCAAACCTGTCAATCGGCCTATATGGTGCTTTAATTGTGTTTTGATATGGACGATACGTGATTGTATTTTCAAAAAATGAATACGCAAAACCTTGTATTTAAAAAATACTGGCAATTGAGCATGAAAGTAAAATTAAAGGTCGTACCAGATCATCCCTTGGTTGAAGACCAAACCAAGTACATTACCACTGATGTCAAACTCTCCATATGAAGGCTGGAAGTGGAAAGAGACAAAGATTACTATTTTCTATTGATGCACGGGTGAGGGCTTTTAAGAATCACAATGCATAAAGAAAATGGAGCACACAAATATGGAGGAGCTTCTCCATCACAGCTGGAAAAGTTTCACAACTTGAGCTATGGATACGTTTTAGACACACTCTAAGCAAACTATTTATATTAAAATGCTTCATTAGTCAGACTCACAAATCCAGCCTCCAGGTCCCAGCACCAGCAGTAGTTGAGGAAGCGAACGATGACCGCTCGAGCAAAGTCTCCTATCAAGATGGTCAGGTAGGACACCTGGATGTCCGACACTGTCAGCTTCACAAACTCCTGTGAGAGACAGATTTAGGGAAATGAAAAGGGGAAATAAGGGGTGTGTTTGGTTTGTCAAACAGCATATTAGACATCTTTTTATTTCCTTTCTAACACCGTTTTCGGATTCTAATTTTAGCTTCTCTATAAGATACGGAAGCCCTGAGAGACCAAAAAGGATGGTGTGTTTTTTGTTGCAATACTCCTTTCAACCACAAGCAGCTGTAGTGCTCATCATAATAATAATAATAATAATACATTTATTTATTATAGCACCTTTCACAGAAATATAATTCACAAAGTGCTTCACAAGTAAGAGCAAAAGTTAAAATTAAGACCACAGAAACATGAATACAATAACCACATGAGGCAGAAATGTAAGGTCAACATAAAAACAAAACACAGACCATGTGGAGTCCTGAAAGGAACAGACATAATGACAGAACACATCACCCCATGTTCTACATAGAACAACCAGCAGATTAGCAATTATTTCGAAATGATTTCTGTTTAATATAATATTAATAATAAGTTTTTGTCATCATTACTATTCCGACAGCAGTCTCCCAGCAGGGTCCTCTGATGACATCAGCAGGGGGCATAGGAGGGGGGGTTAAGTTGGAGTCGTTTAGGAAGAGCGTGTAGTTGGCGTAGTACTCCTTCATGGCCCAGAGGCTAGCGTTCCTAATGGCCCCCTCTTCTTCCAGCTACAGGGCACAAAGTGAACCAGTCAACAGTGACACAAGTTTAAATTCACTCAGTCACTTTGGTAATTTTTCAGTGAATAATTGATCCTCAAGACCACCTGCAGATCATAGTGAACAGACTCAGGTTAGCCCCAAATCTAACAGTCACAACAACAACTCAACAATTGTTGGGCTGATATTTCAGGTTTCATTTTCTGGCAGAAAGCCTGTTTAGACGAACAAAACTACTTTTTCAAATTGAGTAAAACATCATGGTTAGGTTTAAAATAACTATGATTGTTACTGTATTTTAGTTTAGGTTTCACATGCCACAAACATAATTATGGATTACCCTTTAAACATTCTTATCATACAGTTTCATTATATGGAAATTGTCCATCAGGTCAGTTTAAAAAAAGAGACACACACACACACACACTATGGTACTATACCTTGGTGTTGACCTCGTCAAACAGGGCGAACAGAAAGGTGTACAGGTTCCCCAAGAAAAGGGCGAAGATGCGTCCGAGCTGCCACTTGAGGGCGATTCGAGGATGGTAGTCCTCCAGCTCAGCGATAGTCTCAAACAGAGGAGGACACACCAGACCCAGCAGAGACATGATGAGCTCCAACTGTCACGTACAATCAATCAACAATAACATGTTCACGTCAAATAACTACATCATCAAACAAAACAAACAAAAAGGAGTTCATGTTTTTGTTCCGATATGTTTGTGCCTTCAAGATAACATAAAAACTTCTGGCATGATTTTTATGTAACTTGGTGGAAAGGGAACAGAATAACAAATTACATTTGGGAGGGGATCCGAATCACGGGGCAATTACACAAACTATTTTTCACTTATGGAACCATTGTTAGAAAGGCCTTGGCGGGGGTCTGCGCTCTATAAGTGTCTTCAAATGTCAACTTTATTGTCAATCTTTCAGTTTGCGTGTAAATACCGTTTCCAACAATCCCGAATATAAAAACAAATATATATAAAAATATGTATGCAAATATGTACTGTATATACCTATATATACATAATCAAAAGACACATTTATACATATGCACACATTAAGACCTAAATAAAAGCACAAAAATCAATATATACAAAATAACAGTGACTTCAATATCTTTGGGAATGTACATTAGTGCAGTCTTTCGACTTTACTTGTTTTTTCACGGCTTTTATGACTGGCTTTTCTGCTGAGTAGCGTGTGATTGAAGGACAGTCGTTACTGTATTTGTCTTGTCAACAGTGTGCTACAACATTACCTCATTCTTCTCGTACCAGCTGAGGTCGTCCCTGTTGGCGAACTCCTGAGACCTCTTCACTACAAAGTAGATGAGGTACCCGCTGCCTCCGAGGCTGCACAGGATCATGAGGTTAGCCAGGACTCTGAGGAACCTCCGCAGGTGAATGTTCTCATCCTTCTGGTTCTCCTGCTCGTCTACAATGGACTCCTGTTATTGCCAGGAACAAGAACAGGAAGGATTTACAGTGATTAGAGATCTTAATCTGACAATGACTACATTAGGAGTGTAGCCGTGAGTTTAAAATGGAGCTACAGGTGTGCTGAAAAAAACAGTACAGATGCATGGATTACTTGCATAAAGGTTGCTAATGGTTACCTTGAAGCTGGTGGTGATGGAGGCGTATTTGTTGTCAGCGGTCTCTGAGTTGCCTATGAGGTAATCCCAGCTGGTGAACATCTTCCAGGCAAACGTGAACTCTCCTTCGTCTCCGTCTCCTCCACCGACATCAGCGTTCTTGGCCATTCTGAAAAATATAATAATAATAATGATGACACTAATGGGCATGTTTACTATTGCATATTAGAGCTTGAAGGTATCATTTATGTTTTTATCAAGGAGCTGAGAAAGAGGGGTTTTATTCCAAGAAAACATTTATTTGAGATGTATGTCTCACATTGTTGATTGTGGGTTAAAATCACATTACTTAGCATTAGCATCACTTACTGTAAAGAGGCTCAGTCATTGGTACACGTTTATTTATAAAGCTTTGTTGGGTAAACCCCCGTATTATATCTGCTCTCTGATAACACAGAGAGTTGCAAGCAGCTATTGTCTGAGATCGCATGACGTAGTATTGTTAGATGTGCCAAGAGCAAGGACTGTCTTAGGTAAGACAGCTTTTATGTGCGCAGCTCCACTTGCTTGGAACAATCTTCAGCAAGAATTGAAACTGAGCAATCTCATTCCTCTGCATGTTTTTAAAGCTAGGCTAAATGAAATGCTCGTTGATACTATGGGCACTTGTAAATGTCTATAACTATGTAAATGTAACCTGTAAATATAATGTATGATGTCCCTTATTGTTTTATGTTTCATGTGGAACCTATATGCTGCAGGTCTCCCTTGAAAAAGAGATCTATGATCTCAATGGGACCAATCTCGTTAAATAAAGGTTTGAAATGAAAAAAAATGAAACATTAATATCCCTATTGCTCATCATAAAAACTGAACATGTTATTTTGGTTAGGTATAAAACAATGAGTGTGTGATCAGGTTGTTCAAGGAACCACACGTTCCTTGAACAATTACATTTTAAAAGAGTTATTTTGAATTCTTATACCGTGTATATGTTACCCCCTCATCTTTTTTTTTTGCCAACCTAAAGGAAATTAAATCAAGTAACACCAATCGCTTTAAATGACCAAATCAAAACTTGAGCTTGATTGTTCGCCATGGAAGTAGGTGCTCAGAGGTGGCTAAGATATTTCATTAATACAAAATATAAATTATTTGTATAACCACATCCCCTGAGCTGGTTACTGCTGCAGACTCACGTGCGGATCACGACCATCAGGCTGTATCCGAAGGTGCCGATCCCGACCATGAGGTAGGAGAGTGGCAGCCTGAACTTCAGCAGGCCGATGGTCCTCTGGTTGTTGTAGTATCCGTAGAACATGATTGAGTACTTGCAGTAACCCTGAGAAAGAAAAGGGGCTTTGATATTCTAATTTCCTTTAGTGTTCATTTGCTGAAAATGGTGAGAGTTGGAGAAGTTAGAAAAACGATTATACTGTATTTTACATACATAATGGCAGGGGTGTCCAAACCTTTTTCACCGAGGGCCACATACAGAAAAATATACGAAGGGCTGGGCCACTCACTAGAGGTATTTTGCCTCATAAGTTCTGTTATAAGTTGAAAAAATCAATCCAATGTAGGTCAATTATTCTTGATACTTGAAAATGCTTTAAGAAAAAAACAGCTCACAGCTCTCCAGAGGGTTTACTTTATTTTGTTAGCAACTCATTCCTTAAAACAGAAGCTTCAGATTGCTTATAAGAAGGGGAAATATGAAGGGTATATTTCAAGGTTGTTATGTACATGTGTTATTGGGCTTTTTTCTTATCAACTTATATTTGTTAGAACATGTTTTCAACTTTAATTGACTGAATTTATTTGACAATTGGGCCTATTAACACATGAATACTGTGTAATATATTTTCACATACATATTGTAGAAGTACAATATAAGACAAGCAGAAGTTTATTATCCATAAGACAATATACTTTTAGAATTTGCTGAGGGCCGATTCAAAATGGTCCTCGGGCCGCATTTGGACCCCGGCCCATAGTTTGGACACCCCTAATTTAGGGGGTTGACAAAGTTACACCAAAAGAGTGTTATGTAATATTAGATTTTTTAACATTAATTTTTTTTTTAAATGAATACATCGATACCCATTAGGCATTAATGTCATCATGTATCAGACTCACTTGGAAATCCATGAGGACAGAGTAGTCCTGAGCGGTGTCCTGATCTGCTCTCGGGACAGTCTTCCTGGGAATGGAGCCATAGGGAAGGCCCATCAGAACCTGGAAATAAGTACAACATTTTACTGTATGAACTGTATTTCAAATATCACTCTGCAAGGAGCTGTCTTCCTGCCACCTGTAGCACCCTGTCCTTAAATTAAGCTGGCTGAGACAGCAGCATAATTTAGAATTTAATTTAATTTATAAACTTTTATCGAAATGCATATCGCAAGAGTGCTTGAATTATTTGTTTGTTAGATGTTTCAATGCTTTATCATTTTTTGGAAAAAATTGCTTCTTATTTTGAGATACTAATTCATTACTTTGTGATGCGAGGACATTATAATCACATCATTAGACAAAATGTTTATCTATTTGTTGTCTTTTAGTTGTGAAAGTGTTAGCTGTATTTTATTTTATTTTGTGGTTTATTTGTATAATAATGAAATAATAATAAAAAGCTCAATGGCTTTGAAGACATACAACAATTTGTGTTTGTTTATATGAATATATTTATATATAAAAAATATATATATATATGTTAATAATTTAGTTGTTGGGAGAAGGGGTGGGATTAAATAAGTGTACACTTCTTCCCACACCTTTTTGGATGTGTAATTATTTAATTTGTTTGTATATAATTTGTAAGTCAGTAATATTTTTAGTTTATCAATTTGACACTGTTTAAGTTTGTATAGTATAATAATTCTCATGTTTCATTTAATTATCATTATAATTTTGTTTGTTTTATTGTTTTACACATTCGAAATAAATCAAATCAAATTCCATGTTTATTGAGAAACAAGACATCTTCTCACCTCAGGGATGACCACCAGTCCAAAAGTGAAACCAAAAAGGACCAGGTTCATGCCGTACATCCAGCGCAGGAAAATGAAGTAAGAAGCCACAGATGACCCAAAGTGACCTGAGAAGAGGATAAGAAGAAGATCAGTTTAGCGTGTGTCCACTGGAGATCGCTGTTTAGCTTGAGCGCAGTTACTTACTCTCCACCTCTTTAATCTTCCTCTCCCAGGGGATACAGGCCGTTCTGAAGTTCTCAAAATCCCTTGAGAACTTGATCCATTTCTAGGATTTAAAAAGAAAAACACGTAATATTACAGAAGAAAACACACACAAGCAAAAAAGCAGAGAAAATATAGAAGTTTGAAGGTTGTGTCTCGCCTTTTTCATCATCACTTTGTAGGCGTACCACTTCCTGCCTTTTCCTTTGCCCAAAGCTCCTTCAAACTTATCAACGAATTCTTGAGCCTCCCTGTGGAAAAAAACAAGGTGATGTTTGCCATTTAAAAGCTAGATTTATGTTTTTTCCATATTGATTTACTTGCTCTTTAGTTCATCAGAAGTAAAAGGGTCCTGATGAACTAAGTACAGAAAAGTACTTGGTGTGAAAGGGCCTATTGTGTTCTTTTTAACCAAATATCTCTCAGAGGGGCGTGGGGAGGGGCTCCTTATTTTCATCTAAAGTCAGACAGAGAATCAGCAATTTTGAAACAGGACTCAAACAGAGGGGATTATGGGATGCTGCAATGATCTGTTTGGTATTTCGAGCCAAACACTTCAGAGACATGTTCTCTATATATCTGAGACCTATAATATATTGATGAAAATCAGTATGATAGGGGACCTTTAAATTGAGTACATATTCAAGGGGCTTGGTTTATGGTTCAGTGACTATGGCCTGAGACGAAAAACTTTTATTTTGAAAAGCTTGAAACCAGGAGAGGTGTGAGAAATTACTTCAGGTGTACAAGCCTCCGTTTCATCCTCCAAGGCTTGTTCCTGATGGTGGCGATCAGTTTCTTCTTCTCCTCCACCTCCTCCATCAGCCGGGCCATCTCTCCCTCCGACATGGACTCCTCCTCTTCAGAGTTGGTGTTGGAATCAGAATCAGAACTGCAGGAGAAAAGGCAGACAACAATGGTGAAACATGTTCTCATGTGGATGATAACGTTTGCTAATTAGCACTAACAACTGAACATAAAAGACTGATTGGAATGTCCTTTGTTCTTCCAAAGTATTCGAAATGTAAATCTTTGGACTAATTTTACAAGTCTCATTAAAATCCATAACTGTCAACTTCATAATTGTGCTAAAAGATAAGTCAGGAGATGAGTTAAATCAGTAGGATTGATCTTCTGGGGACCATGAATTGCGGTTTTTTCGGAGATTCAAGTTTCTAAAAGCATATTCAAGTTTATTCAAGCGCCATCCTCCGACAAAATACCAGCTTTGTATACATCCAGTTATTGCCAGGATATTCATGTTCCACAGAGGATAACTCCACGTGATTTTGGTAACCCCTCTGACTATTGCATTATGACGAAAATTCCACTCGTGCATAAAAATATAAATACCTAATGGTCATATAAGCATACACATGACTGAGCACTGTTATGCTTTAGTTGAATCCAGAAGTGTCTCATAGACGCTCAATTGTGTCTCGTAGCATCGGTTTATGACCCCTAGGAGTTTAACAAGACTACCAGATGGCAATATATTGTAATCATTGGCAATTACGTTGTCCTTTAAGATCATTTTGATCTCCATTTACACACCAGTTGGGTAGCTACAGTATGTGACTGCTTACCTGTCGTCCTTTTTCTTCTTCTTCTTCTTTTCATTGTCATTGTCTTTCCCCTTGTCCTTCCCTTTGGCATCCCCCTTCTTACCCTTACTCTCTTCATCCTTCCCTCCTTTTTTTCCTCCCCTCTTTCCCTTCTTCCCTTTCCCCGCATCACTGTCATCGTCATCACTGTCCTGAGCTTTGCCTCCTTTCTTCTTATTGGCTGCTCCTTTTCGACCTTTCTTTGGAGCCTCGTCCTCGCTGTCATCGTCATCTTTCACGTTGCGACCGCCACGTTTCTTGACGGGCTTCTTCTTGTTTGCTCCCCTGCGTCCCCTGGGGGATTCATCTTCATCATCCTCGTCTTCCTCCTCACTGGCAGGTTTTTTACCCCGGCCTCTTCCCCTTGCACCTCCTCTTCCAGCTCCCTGCCTCCTGTTGTTTGTCCTCTTGTTGTTGCCGCCATCTACATAAAGACCAAATTCATCAATCAAATGCAGAATTTACTTTAATTTACTATATTGAAATCACTTCAATGTCATGCTGTTTTGTGCACTCACCATCACTGTCACTGTCATCTGCGTCCATCTCTATGTTAACTGAGGAAGGACACACAATACAACAACACTATTGAATATTTCTACCAGCCAGGAGCCCATCATCTACAATGTATCTCTAATTTAAATTCAATCTGCAAATATTTGCCAAAATCAGTGCAAGAAATTTGTGTTTTAACATATTTTTTCGAAAACATTGACATTGTTTCAACTTATTTCCTAGTTCGATGGTTATCAGTTGTTACTAAGTTAACTCTTTGTACCAGACAGAAATGTCTCAACAAATATCTCAACTTCTATTGGACAGAATCTGTTTTAAACAAATCTATTATCAAGTTTCTTAATTGTTCAAAACGTTGCTGAATGACCAAGTTCCAACATCAAACTCAGCTGTACTTTGTTTTTAGTGCTATTCAGCAAATGATGCATGCTAACATGCTAAATTAAGATTAAAAACATTGTAAACATGAACCTCTACATATTAGCAAGCTAGCTATGACATGTCCTGTTAGAGGTCTTATTTTAATGTTGTTAATGACCAAATATCTGAAAAAAAGTAACATTCCCATTAGCCAGTTTGGTGCTAATTATGAAATGTGATGCTAACTCGCTGATACATGTTAACGGTTTCATTGTAGGCATGTTAGTGCAAACTTTAGCATTGAGGTTGGCCAAAATGGCTTCATCCAACACTTTCTTTAAACAAGTTGCCCCCTACTGGCCATTAGAAGAATGCAGCTTTAATGCACTTCCACAAAGGCTTAATTTTTTTATTTCCACTTTTTTAAACAGACCACATCTTTGGCATTGAAGCTAATAATGTTGTTTTCATTCGGTAAGCAGTGAGTAAGTTGTTAAGACCAATGTCAAAATATACAATTAATATATATACTAAACTAAAGTACATTTTTGTAACACGATCATTTTAAAAATGTGTTCTGATATAGCATAACAATTTTCCCTTCAGTCACTCCTCTAAACATTTAATTTTCAACTTACTATCATCCGTATCCTTTTTTCTCGGCATGGTAAAATTAAAAGGTGTCCGTCCTCTGCAGCGTTTTCCCAGTCTGTGTCTTCAGCAGGTTGGCTGTCCTGTGGATCCACGTCGCCAGCACCAACTCAGGTAACTGACAGGGTCGTCACTATGACAACGGCTGCATCTGACCCGCTCTCAACAGGTGCTTTTGGAAATTTGCAGTAAATTCTTGACACCTCAAGTGATCTAATGTGGCCAATAGAGCAGAGCAGTTGGGTTATGGTCCAGGAGATGGGCATTTTTGTTTTATAATTTCTACGTAGAGATGATGATATCCAGCTGAAGGTTACATTTCATATTAGCATTTAGCATTTGCATTTAGCACCAGACTCTTAGCATTCAATGTGGCTCTTTTTAGCTAGGCTTCACCATTCCTGTCCTACTTTGTTTTTCCTAAATGATTATCATCTGAGTGCAGAGAGACACTCTCACTCGTCTTGTTATCGGAGACCACACACACACAAGAAGCCCTAAAGATTTAATGAAGGTGTAGGTTACTCTTTGCGAGGCCCATTAGGCAACCAGTAAATACCCAGAGATGACATTGCAGCTGCAGTATACTTATGTTTATGAATTTTCAATAGAAACACAGTATGGGATAAAGAGTCAACCAACCTGCAGCAGAGACCAACAGCAGCTACCTGTGTGTGTGTGCAGAGATAGAAACCTTTCAAAACAACACCTCAGTGCCTCATTAAATAATACAGTGGAGCTCATTTTTCACGCCCAAAATGATTCCATTACATGGTTGTCGGTTCCCGCAGGTGAGACTTGGATGACACCCCTTTAGGCCCGTGCTGATGTACACGTGAGTGTGATGGAAGTGTAACACATCTGCTGAATTGCTGCCCACCTGTTCAGAGAACAAAGCCGGTCCATGTGTGAAGAAAGATTATATGACGGCATAATATTACTGGTGATAGAGACCTGGTTTTGTCGTTAAAGAGGCTGTGTATGGCACGATTAGCTTTGTAAAACTTTTAAAAAATCGGACATTAACAACAGAATTTGAAGGATTAACAGTGTTGACCTTCTAGCAAGAAGTCAGTGTATTGTGTTGCAGGAATACCTTCAGAAATTAGCATGCTAACCAGCTAGCCCCTATATTGTAGTTCCACTTCTACATCAAGAAACAATTCAGTAGTGCAGTGATGATGCAGTTATGCAAGCCGACCTGGAAGTGAGCATCACACACACATTTGAGATAGCTACATGTTATGTTCAGCAGGATCATTTCCACATATTAACACCACTTTATGATTTTTTTAAGCGTAAAAGCAATCGCCAGAAGTAAAAAGCTATTGCTAAAAAAAACTACAAGATGGTCACATGGCTGCTTATCCACACCGCTAAGCTAAAGGTGGCTAACGTGCGATGTGATGAAGTTTAGTAGTGTAATCATGTACCAACTTTTTAGCAACTGCAGTTTTTAAGACCCATAGAAGAGTCCGACATTCCCCAGTTCGGTGTTATTAATTAGTTAGTTAAGAGGTCAAATGGTGCCCCCTACTTGTTAATTGTATAATTAGTAGGCTAAAGCATATTTAGAGCACTATTGTAAATCAACACAAAAGCAACCTAAATCTTCAACCAAAACTGGGCCTTACTTAAGCCAGACATATTTTCTGATGACATATAATTAAAGCAAATGCATATTTTGATATTTTAAACGTGGATGAACAGATGAGACAAGAGCTCCTACTACAAGTAATTATTATTATTATAATTTATCGTATTAACCTATTTGGTTAATGTGCTGAATGCCCCCGCTGTAGGAAAGTAGTTAAAAAACTTCACAGCGATAATTCAAAAATGTTCTCGCAACGGACAAATTGGGGTTCTTGACACATTTCTGAACACCCATCGCATGTTTCTAAATCAATATTTAATGCGTGACCACCATGAAAGATGTATGAGAAATTAAAAGTTAATGGATCATGTCTTGCTGGAGAGGTCAACAGTGTGTGTGTTGTTAATCCTGATAAACATTTAAATTCCCACAATGTTGACGTTTGATTGATCTGTATTTACTTTTATTAATGAGTTTGTCTTCCAGAGTTTCATCATTTTGCACCAAATGAACACTTTGTTAAAAACTACATTTATATTTTTAGTTTTCGTGTCAATGGGAATGAGTATGTTTAGAGTTAGTAGTGTCTGCTACACCATCTAGTGGCTGGTCTGCTAAAGGAAATGTAAATGTACACTAAACAACTACTTTGGCATAACAGTGTATTATTAAATTAATTAGCTTTTCAAAAGATTGTGAGAGGCCAATGCCATTAGACATTTGTGAGAATATGTATTAATATATCTTACATGTTCCACTATAGTTTCACACAATCACAGTGAAAACATACTAGCTCAGAAATTGGGTTTATACATTAAGAGGTTTTTTTGTATTGCTGGTTATCTCAACAAAAAGGCAATTTGAAAAGTTTGAACAATATTATCAGAATTAAAACAAAGAATTCTACTTTAACTTATCTAGGAACATTAGGTAATACATGAATCAAATGGAAAGAAAATAGTTGTTACTTCTGCATAGCCACAAAACTGTCTCGGGAAAAATGTCTACAAATCCTCCGGGGAGGGACATGTCTATGGTGCTGCTCTGCTGATAAAGGAGTATACTATGCAAGTGTGAGAGTGTGTGTGTGTGCGTGTAAACATACTGTCCTGATGATGGAAGAGGAGTGGGTTTGAGAAGGTCACACTGTGCAACATATCCTGTTTCCCCTGCAGATACAGTGACATGTACACGTGTTTACGGATAAAATGCTGTAGCATAGTTAGCTCACAAAAATGTGTTATTACTCACTTGACATAATAACCGTAAGTAAAGAAACTAGCAGAGAAAGGGAGGTGATATTCCCAGACAGAACTCAGGATTAAACTCGTAAAATCCTCAGAGATTAAACTGGAAGAAAGCAAACATTGTTTCCCTGTTACTTCTGTGGTATGATGAGGTTCCTTGATATTAAACATGTTTACTTTCAGATGTGACATTAAAATATCAAACTATTAAGAAAATGTATTTCTGATTAAAAAAAGAGTATAAATATGTTTTGGGGGGGAATGACGTCATACGTTATGGTAACAGACATTTAAAGCTTTATTCAAAAACCTCATTAGAAGCTTTGAAAAAATAAATACATGAGGAATAAAAAGAAAATCGCAGTTATAATTCATAAGAAAATAAAGAGCCATTGAACTCTTGATTTTAAATTTGTGGACATAATTTATTTACATCATAGAATTCATTCTTTATTATTGGAAGATTACGCACACTGCAGTATATAAATAAAGATGTTTGTACAAACTTGCATAACTAAAGGATAAAAAAAACTGAAAACACACGGATTAAGCAGCCGGACCAAAAAACTGAAAATGATTAATAACCTAACGTCCACAGGTCTAAGTCACCTCACACGATACTCACACACCAGCCGTCCAACATATTCTCCCACACACACACACACACACACACACACACACACACACACGTTCAACACACAGTATGCGGCAATCCAACACTCCCAATGTCATGAATTTGTCTGCTCACATTAAAAAGAAAAAGGAAAACATTCAATGGCGAATAAAAGGTGAAAATATTAGTGGAGCTAAACCCTTCTGAAACATCAATACAAGTTTAGGCTACTTGTCATACAACACACAGCTTACACACCTTTTTTTGAAAAATTAAACATTTCAGGCGACTTGAATGGTCATGTGACTTCAGAGGGTTTTTTTGGGGGCGCAGAGCGAGTCACAGCATTCAGCCCGAGATCAACAGAAGGGGAAAATAATGATTGAATTATTTCTGTGAAACGAGGGCCACACACGGCAGTGAGGGAAGGAATAAGAGCCAGCGAGAAAAAGCTGGCGATAACGTTTTTTTCTTTTCAAAGTCTCTTTTGCGATATTCCGGGTGCACAGAGAAGCGTTACAGGTGGATAAAAACTTACCAAAGTCTGACAAGTAAGGAGGGGTTAAACTCCGACCCCACAGAGTTACGTAGTGGCCAGAAACGGGGGGGGGGAAAAGGACGATATCCATTTTGCTACTCAAGCCAGCAGAGAGCAAGCGTGGCTGAGATTTCGCCAACAGCGGTAAAAGTCTCGAGAGTCCAAACAGGCCCAAAGTGTCCGAGCTCCTTCAAGGCAGAGTTTTTAGGGACAGCAATCTCCAAGATCTCACATTTCCAAGTGTTAAACTCACACAAAAACAAAGCTGAAAATAGACGTGAAATTTCATGCACGGGAGACAATTTGGAAAACAATTGAGGGGGAAAACAGGTCCTTCAGGAAGAAGGGTGGGCTTGAGTTTTTTTAATTTCTTAAAGCCGGATGTCCCAGTGTTCAAAGTGAAAAACCTCTTCATATTCTCTGGATCTTGTCAGCTACGACCACAGGGTTCTCTTTTCGGATCTTGTTGGCGGCTTCGGCTCTGTAGTCGTACGGACAGTTGTGCTTATCGGAGTAACGGTGGATTCCACAGAACAGGTTCCCACAGCGGCAGTCGAAACCTGAAACAGCACAGCAGAGGACAACCAAGTCAGATCAATAACTCATAAAAAGGTGCTTATGGTGGGCAAACATCCCCGCAGAAGTCAGAGGGTGTTTACATTAGAAACTCAACTGAACAGGAGTAGCATATATCAGTATTTTGGAGAAACAACACCTCAAATGTGACATTTTTGCCAGTTGTTTCATTCAGTTACATTTTGTAAAAAATTCTTAAAAGGCTCCAACAGAAAACTTGAAATGTGAAGCTTTCCATTATCTAAGTAACCCAGTATTCTAGCGATTATCCCATCTTTTTTTTGGATCACGAGCTTAGAAATGATCCCTTAAAAAAAAAGTTTATAGTTAATCCTAAAATGAAGGCATCAGTTAAATATTATTAACTCAGGAAAAACTTAAGCCTTAACTTTCTTCTTTGAATGCTTTGTGTCATTTTTTGACTAATTGTACACTTACTTGGGGACATCATAATTTATAATATTGATTAACCTTCATAACTACACATTATACATATCCATAATAACATGTACATCCTTTACTAGCAATCATATCAATTTAAGTTAAATTCTATTGTAATGTTAAATATTTTAACACTCATAAGACACAGAAAAAACCTATGAGAACAACCCAATCTGAGAAGGCTGGTGTTGTGTAGCAAATCTGTAAGGGCGCTGTGCGTCTGTAATAATTATCTTTTAAAACATGCCGTACAGTAGCGGTTTAAAAAGAACCAGCCCAGACAATAAGTCGGTGATCGGTGTAATCTCTTACCGATCAGGCCAAGCTTTTTGCGGCACAGAAAGCAGCGGCTCTTCTTGGGCTTTGTGGGCTCTGGAGTTTTGGACTCCTCGCCTCCAGAAGTGGAGGGATGAGAGGCCGAGGAGGTGGGCTGAGTCAACACTGCAGATGAACAAAAGATATAAAAACATAATAAACTCAGTAAAGTGTATCTTACTAACACACTGAGCTGCTGTATTGTAAAAAGGAAAACATTACTCCGGCTTAAACCCCCTTTTAATGTAAATAGAAAAGCAGAAAATATTCAGGTACGTCTAATTGTTTATTACTAGTTTATTAGTATTATTTTTGAAAATAAACCCACCTGGATCTGTTAGCTCTACTTTGCTCCCTGATGCTCCTTTCTCCCCACAGGAGAGACTCATCTCCGTCAGGGAACTTGAAACCCCACTGCAAAGGATAAACAGATTTTTTTTTTTAAAACATCAGGAAACTAAACAGACAGAATCATCTATAAGTCAAACCATATTTATCTGCTGAAGAGTAGGGGTGGGCGGGTTACAGGAAAACGCCGATTATACCTACTTCTGCTTTTTGCGGGCAGTACAATATACCGTGGTGCATCCCCTCACCTGAGAGCCTCGGCTGAAGCGGCGGCCTCTGCTGCCGACTCAGCAGCAGCGACTGCGGCGGCGGCAGCATTGTTCAGCGTGGCCTCTAACCTCTGGATGGCCGACGCCTCCGCTGCGTGGCCACTGCTGCTGCCTGGGGGGGGGGGAAACGTCAACGATGGTTACAGTCGGATAAAAGGGTGAGGAGTGAAATCCTTGTGTGCGTCTGAACACAGCAGGTCTTACCCACGGCGCTCAGAGAACCGACTCCTCCATTGTTCTGTCTGGACAGTGTCTCCTTGTGGCACACAGAGCACATGCCATTAGTCCTAGGGTTGCCATAGAAACCACAGCCATTAGCACAGAGCGTAGGCATCGGGGTCTGATTGGTCTCCTGGGCCATGGTGAAGTCTGCCGTCGGGTGAGCTGACCTGGAAACCAAAACAAAGGGGTTTTGTTAATTTAACACAACACACTCTTATTTTTTCATCAATCAATATTGAACAAAAGGATTGTAAACCAGTGACAGAACTAAAAGTTAATTATTCCCTTAGTTGTCAAAGCAAAAAAGACAATGGTCATGTGACTCAGGCAATAAAATGTAGGGCTTGGTTTCCTGCCTGAATATCTGGTATGGTACATAAAATGATTGGTACTTTCACAGAAAAGGACAGAAAGTAAACATTGAGTGTCTGGAATAAGATTGTGTAACAAAAAAAATCCCATTAAAAACTTTACTGGCAGCTTAACCTCTTCATCAGCAACAATGACACTGTTCTGGTATCATCACATGACCCAAGTGTAGACAACGATTACAAGATGGGATCACAACCCATCCTGTTTTAAAGATAGTCTTCTGCACTGTATGCAAACACTTTTTTAATCTCCACTAATGAAGACAGTGAACTGTGGTCCAAAGCTCTGATTTTGAGAAGTTTGGCTAATTTTGTAGAAGGAGAATTTGTAAAAAGACCAAAACATTTATATATTTTTAAGTATTAAATATCGTAATGGAACTATAATGATGGCTTTAAATATGTGTTATAAAAACTCTTGCATATCTCAATTTCTCACAAATGGGCTGATTACAAGGAAAGTGGTTGTAAAAATCTAAATGTATTTAAAGTGACTCAATATGAACTTGCATCAGCCTTTACAGTTACAATAAAGGAAGTTGTGAGGATATCCCTTTAGGGGAGGGTTATTTTAAATGAGTGACAGAATCAAAAAAGGAAGTGTTCAAGGCACAATTCTGGTAAATTGGATCTGATGTCGTCTTTCCTCCTCAAAACTGTCATCACAGCAGTGCTACATGCAGTTTCAGTCCAACACGACCCTGTGTAGATGGCATTCGTCTGTCACGGGAGTGCAATGTGACACTGATCTAAGAGGTGCTACTTCAATACAGTAAGGCGGTGAACACATCTATTTAGAGACCACCTCGAGAACCTGGTATCGTGCAAAACATGTGTATCTTGGTCAGAGTAAGTTTTAAGATTAAAGATACCATCAGCTTTCTAACCCAAGGTTGTAAACACATTGTGAAGCCAGAGACTGCCAAACTGTTCAACTATACATGTCAGATGTCGTTTGGCAGGGGACAAATGGGCACAGATTCTGAGCTGGGTCCAACATTTACAACACCTGTAGCTCGCATAAAGAGTGGACCATGTCTGTCACAGAAACAAAAGCCCAACTCACTCACTGACCTTTATATGTGGTCGTACTGGCAGTATGTTAACTTAAAACTCTCCTGCGCATCAATAAACCCTTATATACGCTTACAAGTGCTTAATGGGGGTGCTTTTAGCCAGTTATACTATTTTTAAAGGCTGTTTTATTCGATGCTTCCTGACAAACGCCGGGCCACAGCCGTGTCACTTCCACAAATCCACTGAGTCATGCTAGCAAGCTAATGGCTGCTGCTAACGTCTTTCTTTCACATAACTATGCTACATGACACCTGGGAGGTTGGACGATATCACCAATGAGTCAAGTTATAAACGTTTGAGGTCAAAAGATGGACACCCAGAGGGACGTTTAGGTATTTAACAGTATCGTGTGGCCCGTATGCTAACGATAGCTAGCCACAACAACCGTGTGAGCATATTCTCGTGATCTCGCTAATGTTAGCATGCTAGAGGTTAGCATACTAGAGATAAGCTAAATCCGAAAAATAACTTAGAACTGCTATTGCCTTTGTTGAGTCTGTGCTTTGTTTTGGTGTAAACCAAAGACGAACTTAAGTATCTTGACATTTATTTATTTCATTAGAGCCATAACGAGGTTTGGTAAGTGCGTGAATCAAAGCAGGCATATCACATAATCGTAAAACCTTGATGAAGTTAGCCAACAAGATGATATTACACTTAACTAAAAAACAACTATGATAGTGCTGTTAACAGATTAGAGCTAGACAGGTCAATGTTCATTACAGATCACCTTTATTTTAGTTAGTGGACAGGTCGGTGTAGAGAAAATAATAATGTTGTTATGTTAATAGCAAAAAGTTAGCGGCTAGCTGTTAAAGCGCTTGAGTTGTATTTCATTTACAACCAGGAAAAGTAAAGCTACACGTGTTATCCGAAAGTAACATTGCTTTAATCCTCGTTATTTAACAAACCCACATTTAAATCAACATAAATGAGAATCACTGTGAGCTAATAATGTACATTTAAGCTGTTTATCTTAGTGTTTCACTCTGGAAACTTCACAAACAACCACGTATGCTAATGTTAGCTAGCCACAGTTGAACTTACCTTACCTGAGAAACGTTGTTCTTTTCCCTGGAAACTTTTTTAAGACGATTTACGGTATAACTAAGTTAACCTCGATGTTTGCTATCTAGGGCCGTCTAGGTACGTTGTTGTTTGTCTCTCTTCTCACAAAAACGACTCCCCTCCGCCTGGGAGCAGTGGTGTTTTCTATCGTCCTCTGTCGGTGATTTGTGGAGGCATCTGTTTTGTTTTACGTGTTGCCTTCGTCTCCTCTCCTTTTCCGGCGGACGTCACGGAAATTGTGACCCTCTGATTGGAAGGCTGTGGTGTTGGAAGTTACCACATACGATTTCAGGCTATTTTTACCAGTCTATGATAATTACTGAACTGTTCAATCTGCTTCTTCCAGCAAGTAAACATACTACTATAGCTTCGTGTAGGCAGGAAGGGTCAACGCAGGCTTGCTTTTTTGGATCCAAGTAAACAAGTCTGTGGTGCTGCCTTCAAATGCTCATCACACCCTCCAAATTCCACCTAGAGATCAAAGTAAACTTTATTGTCAATCTTCCAGTTTGTGTGTACAGACAGAGAGATCGAAATACCGTTTCCCACAATCCCGAATATAAAAACAAATG